AATGCAACTGAGTTTACTCAAAGCAGGAAAAGCAGCGGTGAAAAGAGTCTGTGTCACTCCAACCTGTAGTTACACTTTCTTCTGTTTTGTTTTTGTTTTTTCCTGTAGCTTCAGCTTCATGAAAGAGGATTAAAATTACACCAGGCTATTTACGGTCAGGTAAAACCTTGCCTTAAGTGGTGTGTATTTTATGCCTGTTTGCATGTCTGCCTTTTCAGAACCTGTGATGGAGAGGAGGAGGGCACTGAACAGAGAGGGGGCATTTTGCATTTGCACTGTGTGTGCTGGGGCAGTGGAAATAAAAGTCCGTTTTGCATCCGTTGTCCTTAAACTCTAAAACTCTGCACTTCAGCAGAAATCTTTTATTGAGGGAGATAGTTGTGGCAAGCAGAGCGTGGGCTGACAGGCTCTGTTAGGACAAAGTCTGCCTGATCAAACCCAGAAATCTCAGGGAGTAGAAGGGAAACCTGGACTCACTCTCGTATTTAATCCGTCTTAACTGATTCACGGCGAGGATCCTAACTCCGCGGTGGGAGGCGAATGGCAGCGCCAGGGGGGACGTTCCGGGCGTCTCAGGCTGTGACTCTTCTTTCAGGCCTGCAAGCTGCTGGCAGATGATTACGAGCAAGTGCGCAGCGCCGCGGTGCAGCTCATCTGGGTCCTCAGCCAGCTCTACCCTGAAAGGTGAGTTCTGTCTGCAGAGAGAATCAAGCTCTTGGCAGGATGATCATCCTCATCTGGAGAGTTTTGTGCTAATGAGTCTCGGGAGCAGCTGTCAGAAAACTGATGGGTGCAAATTGGTGATACCCGATGAGAGTCATTGAATCTGTTCGATTGGAAAAGACCTCGAAGATCATCGAGTCTGACGCTAACCCAGCACTGCCGGGTCAGGTCCTGAGGTTTTGGGTTGTGGCTCTTGTCGTGCATCCGCAGGAATTCAGTGTGATTGTTTCTTACTTGATGCCATCTGTAAGATGAGCGAACTGATTCCTGTTTCTCTGTGTTAGCATCGTCCCGATTCCTTCTTCTAACGAAGAGATTCGCTTGGTGGATGACGCCTTTGGAAAAATCTGCCACATGGTCAGCGATGGCTCCTGGGTGGTTCGAGTGCAGGCTGCCAAGCTGTTGGTGAGTTGCCTGCGGGTCTTCTCCAGCGGAGAACAGTTTGTCTTACGCTGCTTTACTTCTTACGGGTACCTCTGGAAAGAAACAGGAGGATGTTTTTAAAACTGCGGAGGTAAATCTCCACCAAAATTGTAAGAAGAGAGAAATGAGAGAGGTTGAGGAAACCTGAAACTTTCTCAGCTGAACTCCGCAGTGATTCTGTCCTTGAGAGTAGAGGGTCGGGTATCCAAGAAACCATAAACCAGCTGAGCGCTAGAAAGCCCACGTTAACCCCACTGGGAAGATAAGGTGTTGTGACCATCTTAAGTAAACTTGTGTGGAGTCTGACACACTCTGTCAGATGTTGTGTAACGCTGTTGGAATTTGTGGGTAAGGTGGGACGCTGCATTGGTATAAGTCAGGAAATAATACAATGTAATTTAGAATAATCCTGTTTCTTCCTTTTGATTTCTTTTTCCCATTTTTTTTCCTCTTTCTTTAGGGTTCCATGCAGCAAGTTAGCTCCCATTTCTTGGAGCAGACCCTCGACAAGAAGCTCATGTCGGATCTGAGGGTAGGGAACTCTCTGGGTTGGTTTTTACTTCGTGTGGTGCACTCAGATTGCACGAGAAGCCGGGTGATGTTGAGTGTACTCATAAACTGTGTCCTTGCCACGGGGCTGCTGAGAGTTAATTGACGGTGACGGCTTTTCTTTTAGATTAAAGCTGGTGAAGTGTTTGCTAGTTTAGATTTTGTTAGCTGAGCACGTAACAAACCGCCCGAGGCTGTCGAGGTGCCGCAGGTGAGAGGTAAATGCTTGTGTTGTGACGGCCTTGGGGCTAAAAGCTTTATTTGTGGGCACAGCAAGACTGCAGCCTGGTTTTGGGAGCGGGCTGATGGACACGTCCTGTGAGAGCCGACCAGGAAACTGAGACGTTTCAAGAGATGGGAGAAGCTAAAGGTTGCGACTCCTGACCCCCATGAGCAAAACTTTTCAGTAAAATTCCTTCCTTAAGCAACTTGCTTGAGGTCTAAGATGTATTAACTGTTGTCCTTTCCCAACATCAGAAGTCCAGAGAGTTACTGGCAGTTGGAAACACTCACAGAAGGTTCCATTTGCCCTCTTTGCTGTTCTTGGCGTTTGCGCGTGCCTGTCTGTGTCTGAGCCTCCCGCTATGTCCGTTTTCAAATCCCACAGATTTAGTATTTCGTTCGGTCGTCTTTTTTAAAGTTTCCCCTGGTTGTAACTGAACAACTTGTTTGGGCAGAGGAAGCGCACGGCACACGAGCGAGCCAAAGAGCTCTACAGCTCCGGGGAGTTCTCGAGTGGCAGAAAGTGGGGAGACGATGCTCCCAAAGAAGAAATCGATACGGGCGCCGTCAACTTGATTGAATCGGGAGCTTGCGGCGCTTTTGTTCACGGCCTGGAAGACGAGATGTATGGTGAGTGTTGACTTCTTGTGGAGCAGCGAAAGGAGATGTGTGCTGGCTAATAAGCTTTGGGGTTTTGGGGGTCAAAATACATCGCTTCGATGTTGCGTTTGGGATTTTTTTAATGGATCACGGACTTCAAGGTGGTGAGGTGTGATTCTGTTGTGATCTCTGATGCAACAGTTGGTTCAAAGACGCTCCAGTCTTGCATAGAGTAGCCAAAAAAACCAGCTTACTATAAAAACTTAACCCAAACCAGCTTACTATAAAGTGTTTTGGTAAAATATCTGATCAGAAGTGATTACTTACGTCATGCAGAAACCCACTGGAATTATTTTTATTTTTTTTTATTATTGACTTCAGTTTGGTAGTTGCACCTGGCTCTAAATTGGCAACATCAGTTGCTGCTGCTTGAAATCGGTGTTTGCTCTGCAGGAAGGAAGATCTAACCGTATAGAACTCATCATTTAAAACACAGCGCTGCAGGGAGCTGGGGCCCTGGCGTCCAGTAACCGTTCGTTTTCTCAACATAGCTGCTTCCGTCCTGACCACGGTTAGAGCTCGTGGAGACAGACCCACACGTTTTTCGAAACATTTCAGGATCCACCAGCTGCAGCAAACAGAACTTCTCTTCTAATTCCTGACTCGGTTTTACCCACGTTCAATTTACACCCGTTTGTTCTCAGCCAGGGGTGAAATAGTTGTTGCTTCTCTCGGGATGTGTCTTCCCTAAGGAATGAGCGGAGAGCTCCCAGTTTGCAGGGGGCTCAACACGCTGGGCTCCTTTTAGCCCCTGCTGCTACCTCAGTTCTCCTGTTGGCCACCTAGAAGGTGTTTTTTGTGAACACAGGTGACCAGATCTGTGTGTTTTCAGATACTTAAATTCCAGGCGAGGGCTCACTCGCATCTTTCACAGTGTCACCTCGGGGAAATCTGTGCTGCCCTTCCCGGCCCGGCCTTCAGGGGGGCGAAGCGAAGGTTTGTATTTCTCACGGCCGTTGAGAAGGGCTGGTGTCTGCCTAGAACTGGGAACATGCCGAGCTCCCGCTGTTATTCCTGAATTTGCTCGTCGTGGTACTGGAAGGACGAGGCTAAATTAGCAAAGTACAAAACCATCGTAATGAAAATATCGCTTCAGACTGCGTTTTAGAGTTGGTTTATTGGCCCACGAGTCCTCCAAATAAAAGCCTGATCTCCTAATTGCTGAACTCTCCTACAGGCTTCAAAATGAAACTTTTTTTTTTTTCTTTTTTTCCCCTGACTAACAGTAAAAACCTTCTCCCTGGCTCAGTCCGTTGAGCTGTGAAATAGGTTCTCCAGGTTCTCGTGCCGTAGGTCTGGGGGCAGTACGATGCTCTCGGGGAGCCCTGACGAAGTGGACAGATGTGGAATATTACCCAGATGTTTGAATAATGCAGAACCCTCCCTCCAGCGCAGCGTGTTCCAGTGCTGCTGAGCTCTCTTCTGTCGACCTTGCGGCGTGGCTCCGTTTCTCAAATTCCATTTTGGAACTTCAGTCTGAATTAGCGTGTCGGCTTACGAGAGCAATATTGGCCACATGTTTTTCTTCTCTTGGCTAAAGGTTTTTCCTCTCTACCACCATGGTCTTAACGACCGCAGAGACTCCTCGTTGTGGCAAAAGCTTCGTTACTGCCCAAGCAGGGCTCTTGGTGCGTTGGTGCTTCCCTGCTTAATGAGAATCGTCAGGAATCGAATGTGTTCTTTAAGAACAACAGGCCTAAACGCTGCATGTGACTTGGAGTAAATGTTTTCAAGATGAGCTAATTGGAATGGGACAGAAAAGTATATTTAAAACATTAATGTTTGCAAGACATGAGATTAATTCTTGTTTTTATGATACCGGCACATAATGTTAAGGCAGCCAGCGAGGATTGCTGCAGGGAGGAGAATCTTATCCCCACTTCAGCTTTATTGGGGTATTCTTCAAATTCCTGCCGTGTTCTACAGCATAAATATGTTCTGGACAATTTTTGATGCTTTTTTTGCTTCAATTCTTAGGCATTTGAATAAGTAGGTGGCAATTTTTTCCCTTCTTCTGCGGAAGCCAAAGTCACGAAGTGGAGAAATTCTGTTCTGTTTCCTGCCAGGGCTTTCCAGCGATTTGTAAAGTGCTGCAGAGCAAATTAAAAACGCAGCGAACGCTCCAAGCCATTAAAATGTCAGGAAGAATAAAACAAGCCGAGTTTAAGTATCTAAATTAGTTTGCTGAAGATACCAGGGTTAGTACCGCGCTTGCAGAACGCTCTGTGAGTTATGTAATATTCGTCACTGGGCAGGAGACCCCGATTTTCACCCGCAGGTCATGCCTGCAGCACGCGCTGGGCTGGAGTCGAGGCGCCCGGTTTTGCCCGTGAGAAGGTCCCCAGTGGGTCCTTCCTTCACCTCCACCCTTCTCAGTGTTTCCTTGAGGCTGCTGGGTGGCACATCCTTTTAAGCAGCAATTAAAATGAGCATCTTTTTATTTACCAGAGGTTCGGATCGCCGCCGTCGAAGCTCTCTGCATGCTGGCTCAGTCCTCGCCTTCCTTTGCGGAGAAGTGCCTGGATTTCTTGGTGGACATGTTCAACGACGAGATCGAGGAGGTGAGGCTGCAGTCGATACACACCATGAGAAAAATCTCCCACAACATCACGCTGCGGGAAGACCAGCTGGACACCGTGTTAGCCGTCCTGGAGGTAAGAAATCCCAGACGGCAAAAATCTCGCGTTCCTGCTTTCTGGAAGGTGTTAGATGAGATAATGCTCATCAGCCCCTTCCCCTGAGCTGAAACTCTCCGCGTGTTTTGTGGAGTATTTTTTTTCTCCTCTTCTTCCAACACGCCCAAAGACTCCTGAGGTCTAGTAGCTTGTAATCTCCAGGAGAGCAGAATACTTCTGAAATAGATGAATTTCAGGTAACCGACCTGTTTTTGGTCTGTAACAATTGAATAGGAGGTGCATTTTCAAACGCAGCAGTGAATCGTGGGTCCCTCGCGTTTCTTTGTAGTTGAGCGGCGTTTGTTCAAGCTGGGGACCTGTGTGTCAAGGTATCAGAATGTCTCAGGGGTTTTGTCTTCTGCTTCTCTGCTGCCTTTCATGCATAATATAAAGCAGAATACATGTATGGTTTATTTTCAGATTTATGACCAGGTATTAGGATAGCAAAAGCGTGAGAATTATTAACATTTTAATGGGTTTGTCAATCTCGGAAAGGTGCTATTGGCATCTTCCAGTGCCAAAATAGAGGATATGGGGAAAGTAACGTTCACTTCAGTGCCCCAATTTGTCCTGAGAGTGTAAATACGGAGCGGTTGGGTGTGGGTGTAACTTCTGGTTTCGCCGCATTGCTTTGACTTTATCTGAATAACTCTTCCAGCTCCTCTGGGCTTTTCCAGCGCCTTTGGCATCTGCTTTTGGTTGAGTTGTGCTCTTCTCCATCCCTTGGTAGCCTTTGCCTCCTCCTTTGTGTCTGTTCTGCCCTTCCAGTGGACTGTGAAGCTCACCTGGAGTGTTTTACATCCGTGGTTATTTCGTTCCAGTCCTTAGAGTCCGTTTTCTCTTTGGCCATAGTCTCCCTTCCCCTTCCAAAATCAGGAAGGGCTGAGCAGCCCCGCTGTGCTTTCATCTTTGATCTTTTGTGTTGGCTGGCGTTACAACTGCTCTTCCTTCTTTTGTCTAAAGCAGTGATGAACGAGCTGTTGAGACTTAGCAAATTATGATTTAAAACAAAATATAAAACAAAAACCCGCCGCTGAAACGCACCCATTTTGTGTATCCTGACAAATTTTCACATCCCGCCCAGCAGTGCCACCCCAATGGCAGTAGCAAGGGGGCGCGATGCGTCGATACGGAACAGCGAGGCGGGTTTTGGCAGAGGGAATGTAATTAATTAAGCTGGAGTTCGGCCACAGCGCTTTTAAAAATAGAGCTTGAGGGTTGCGTAAGCTCCTCTGTGCAACATCACCCTGGCCCAAAAAGTAAAAGGGGCGTGACTTGACTTCTGAAGTGCTGCGCTGGAGATCCCGTATGATCGGAATGAAGTTCCTGACCCAGCTTAGGTGGTTTTGGTTTTTTATTGCCCCCTATAAACCTGTCGTTAGGTCAGGGTCCCTTATCCTGTAGAAGGTCACTGCTGATCTAGTCTGTTTGGCCACCGACACGTCCTCCACGTTTGCACAAACCCTCTGGAGGCTGGTGGCTGGGTTAAAGCCTGGGTGAATTGGGCATTAAACGGCTCCTCCTAAGGCAGCAAAAGGATCTTTGGTGATTGGTTTGGCTGAGTTACCCAGCGCAGCCAACCAGGTGAGCTGGAAGGAGCAACTCAGAGAATCATTTAGGTTGGAAAAAATCTTGAAGATCATCGAGTCCAACCATAAACCCAGCACTGCCAGGTCACCACTGCCCCGTGTCCCTGAGCCCCACAGCTCCCCGGCTTTTAAATCCCTCCAGGGATGGGGACTCCACCCCTGCCCTGGGCAGCCCAAGCCAGGGCTGGACAACCCTTTTGAGGAAGAAATTCTTCCTCATATCCAACCTGAACCTCCCCTGGTGCAACTTGGG